TGCGGCACCTCACGTTGATCACCAAACTTAGCAAGCTTTCTTGTGAGGCTATCTTTGGACCATCAGCCCACAAAAAAAATGACCTGGAGACTTATCCCTAATTATGAAAGCTTGGCCTTTAGATTAGGCAAGTCTCAACTAGCTCTTTTTTTTTAAGATTTATATATTTATTATGAATACAGTGTTCTGCCTGCATGTATCCCTGCAGGCCAGAAGGGGGCACCAGATCTCATTACAGATGGCTGTGAGGCACCATGTGGTTGCTGGGAATTGAACTCAGGACCTCTGGAAGAGCAGGCAATGCTCCTAACCTGAGCCACCAACTGGCTCTTATAACTTAAATTAACCCATATTGTTTAATCTATGCTTTGCCTGTCTTTGTCTTTCATTCTGTATGTCTGTCTCTCTCCATGTTTTTGTTGACATCTGATGTGTGGCTAGATTCATCTGCTACTTCCTATATCTCTGCCAAGGAGTCCTGCCTATACCTCTTGCCTAGCTCGTGGCTATTCGGCTCTTTATTAAACCAGCCACAGCAGTGTATGTTAATACAGTGTACAAATATCCCACGGCATTTTGCTTAGTTTTTAAATAGCTTCTCTTTGCATTCTCCTTTCTAAATCCAATTTGTCGTCTCCCCAGAGATCACCAATATTATGGATCTTGTGATTATTTCCATTAATGCCTTCATATTCTTCCTATACAGTACCTATTACAGAAAGTATATATAGCATCACTTGTGTGTTTTCAAGCCTTGTGGTTCTGTGTCATACAAAATACTAATTCAGTATTATTAATATTACAGTTTGGGAATTTAACAAGGTTGGTGGGAGTATCTCCCATTGGCTAGTATAATTTCCATTCTAATTTAAGCCTGTTTTTATTTTATTTATTTATTTATTTTGGTTTTTCGAGACAGGGTTTCCCTGTGGCTTTGGAGGCTGTCCTGGAACTAGCTCTTGTAGACCAAGCTGGTCTCGAACTCTCAGAGATCTGACTGCCTCTGCCTCCCGAGTGCTGGGATTAAAGGCCTTCGCCACCGCTACCTGGCTTTTTTTTTTTTTTTTTTTTTGGTAAGCCTGTTTTTAAAGGCTAATTTCTGCATCTCCATAAATAGCACTGCAGTGGGCCTTCATGTACATCTCAGGAAACATGAAGACTTGGGTTTCTGTAGAGGGTTCAGTGCAGAATTACTGTATTCAAGACAATTCACATACTCAACTTTAGAAGATACTGCCAACTCATGCTGCAGACAACAACAATGAATATCCACATGGCTCCACATCTTTGCAGTTAGTTTCTTTCTTTCTTTCTAAATACTGGTTTCACTATGTAGCCTTGGCTGGCCTGGAACTCACTATGTAGAGCAAGCTGACCTCCAACTCCTAGAGGTCTGCCTGTGTCTGCCTCCTGGAAGGCATTCACCACTGTGCCTAGCTGCCAACATGATCTTGAAAGACCTCATTTTATTATGGTTTCATTTTATACACCCCTCACTATTTGTAACATACAGAATCAATTTTTCCAAACCCCCAGATCTACCTTTTGCTACCATCCTGAACCAACCTTCCATATGAAGATGAGTCTTTGCCAAGGTGCCTTCTGATTGTTTTAATAAAGAGCTGAATGGCCAATGGCTAGGCAGGAGAGGATAGATAGGATTTGTGGGGAGAGAGAGTTAGAGGTATCTAGGCACTTGGATTTCACCAGCAGACTCAGAGCAAGTCTGATGTGCCATACTGAGGAAAACGTAAAAGCCACGGAGAAAACCATAGAGTAACAGAAGCTAGTTAATTTGAGTTATAAGAGCTAGTTGAGGACAAGCTTGAGCTAAAGGCCAAGCTTTCATAATTAATAAGAATTCTCCATGTCGGGCTGGAGAGATGGCTCAGGGGTTAAGAGCACTACTGGTTCTTCCAGAGGTCCTGAGTTCAATTCCCACATGGTGGCTCATAACCATCTGTAATGTAGTCTGGTGCCCTCTTCTGGCCTGCAGGACACATGCAGACAGAACACTATACATAATAAATAAATAAATAAAATCTAAAAAAAGAAACAGAAAAAGAAAACAAAGAATTCTCCATGCATTATTTGGGGGCTGGCAATCCAAAGACAGTCCAACAAGAAAGCTTGCTATAGCATATTAATTAGGAAGAACCACCAACTCCAATGAGTTTCCTAGGACTATGTTATAGCTTATGGTCCTTAACTTATCATCTTGTAATTTTTCAGTTTTCTGGGATTTAAAATGTAGTTTTTTCTGTTTTGTTTTTGTTTTTCGAGACAGAGTTTCTCTATGTAGCTTTGTAGACCAGACTGGCCTCAAACTCAGAGAGACGTGCCTGCCTCTGCCTCCAGAGTGCTGGGATTGAAGGCATGCACCACCACCACCCAGCCTTAAAATGTATTTTTGAGACAGGCATTGTCTATGTAGTAGTCTTGACTGGACTTAAACTCAGAGATCTGCCTGCCTCTGCCTCCCAAGTGCTGGGAATAAGGTGTGTGACACCATGCTGGGCGTAAAATGTATTAATAGCCTTTATATCTAAGTGTTATTAACTCTTTCTCATTCTAGAATTTAACATATTACTCCTGCCATGAGCTTCAGGGTGTTTAAAGAGTAGTTACTCAATAGTTACAGAATGGATGAAAATCTGTGGTTTTACTTTTGATTTCACTTTGGAAACCACTGTATAAAATCTTGAAAACTATAAAATGATTGACATGTTTTCAAAATTACCTGAATTAACCCATATAATTATTTAGGTTTAGTGTCTTTTGATGGGAACTACCCATTTTTGCTTTATGTTTTTAGAATAAATTCTATTTCCCTGATGTAAATGTAAGTGCTGAATTATTCCCAGTGAATCTTATCTTGTTGGTTTAACCTACTCCATTCTCCTTAGAAACTTGGTAAAACACTAATAATCAATTATGGTTTTACTGCCTGGGTCTATAATGATTATTCACAAAGAGGATGAAAACTCCCATTTATGTTCTAAAAAGTTTAGTTTTTCTCAATTCCGATCAGGTGCTTCCCAAACAGGTTCAATAAATCTTGTTTCAGCTGTGAGAAGCAAATGAGTCATTCTGCTCACTATATTGAACAGTACCTGGTGCCTGGTGTGCACCTAATGTTAGGCTTTACTATTTACTGAGTATCTGCTATAGCTGATGTCCTATGTTAAGTACTCTGCATGCAAGTTTCTCATGTCAGTATGCATTAATTTTCAACAGATACCCTCATTTCCACCGTACAGTAGCCTTTACTACCCCTATTTTAAGATTAAAACCTAAAGGTTTTGATAAGTCAAATTAAAATGTTCCAAGTCATACAATGCAATAGTAGTGGTAGAACTATGATTTCCCAGAATCTGAGCTCATAGTCTTAAGTGATGTCTAGTGCCTAAAGAAGCTGGATGGTATGTTTGGAACAGACAATAAAGAGTATTATGTACAATTTTAAAGGGTGTTGTCTAAGAACAATAGCAAGCAAAAGACAATTTAAGGTGGAGATGGTGATGCATTGATTCTTATACTTTAAAAAATCTGCTGGGTGGCCGGGCAGTGGTGGCGCACTGGGTGGCCTTTAATCCCAGCCCTCAGGAGGCAGAGGCAGGCAGATCTCTGTGAGTTCGAGACCAGACTGGTCTACAAGAGCTAGTTCCAGGACAGCCTCCAAAGTCACAGAAAAACCCTGTCTCAAAAAAACAAACAAACAAAAAAAAAAACAAAAAAAGATCTGCTGGGTGTGGTAGCACACAGTTGTAAACTCAGCACTTGCACTTGAGAGGCAGAGACAGGAAGATAATGAGTTGATGTCAGCCTTGGCGACACCGTGAGTCTAAGGCCAGCTTGCATTACACAAGATCCCACCTCAAAATAAAAATCATTTGGGGTACATTATGGGAAAAGGATTTGAAGATAGTAATAACAGATACTGGAAAGCGGGTTAGAACGGTATAGCAGCAATCTGCACTAAAGACGGAAAACATGAGCTCCAGAAATATTTAGGAGATGGGATTTACAGGACTTGGTGACTGCCTGGATTGGGTGGCTACAGTGAGTCCCCACTGTGAGTCCTCTGATG